CGGAATGGATATTTGACAAAAATACGATTTTATTAGACTCGTATTTTCAGTCTCCATCCGTACTTTTTTTTAACCAATTAAAAAAATCAGGTACGAAACTTGGGGACCAATCGTTGAAGGCCAAATAATTCATTAGAAATTTTTAAAGGCTTAAAAATTCCAAAGAGACACGTCATCATCTCCCTCAAAATCGTTATGATTCCAGCCAACTTCCGGCGGCGGCAAAAGCATCCCCTCCGCCATATTCTCGAAAAAACTCGGCATTCCCAAAAGTGCATCTTCGTCCATATAAAACCCACCGCTCTGCTCCGACGTCTCCCCCGCCGTCGCTTTCGATCCCTCCGTCATTGCGGCAGCAGTCTCAGCCGTCGCTGTCTCCGTGGCCGTCTCGTTCTGAAACGCCATTGCAGCCTCAGCCGCCGCTTTCTGGATTTCTTTAGGACAAGTCGAGTCAGGGATGCGAAGCCGCCACGCCGAGTCTGCGAAATTGAGACAAGCAGAGCGACCACGGAGAGCTAAAGCGGCTACGTCGTGAGCACGAGCGGCCATTTCGACGGTCGGAAAAGTCCCGAGCCAAATCCTCGATTTCTTGTTAGGCTCTCTCACTTCGCAAACCCATTTCCCTGAGTTTCTCTGACGAACTCCTCTGTAAACCGGATGACGGGTCTCGCGAAACTTCTTCCTCCCTGCTCGCTTCTTCGGACAGCTCGAAGCTAGCTTCGGAGAACACTCGCTACTGTCGGAAACCGGAGATCTGTTGTCGGGAATTGAGAGGAAGGAGTCTGAGAAAGCAGAGTAAAAAGGATTCATGTCGAGAGAAAAAACAGAGAGGCTATATATGCTTGAATTTTGGATAAGGTGTTTTAATTTCTCTTTCTCTCTTTTTTGTTCAGATGTGGGAACTTTTTGGATTTAATTATAACAAGTTGGTTTGGATTTAATTATCACAAGTTGGTTGTGTGTGTTTTATAATTAAAGGACTGGGCGAAAAAGAGTAACACGGAGTATCTGGTAACGACAACTGTCCCACGGTTTTACTGACACGTGTCCATTAGTTTACTTAGTCGTGAGAATATATGTGTACTGTATAGTGGAGATATTTGATTAGTTCAGTATATATATATATATTAATAAAATAAAGTGCTTCGGTTTTTGTAATGTTCGTCGAAAGGGGACGATTTAAGTGAAACGACAAAAGAGGCTTTAAGATGACGTCACGGGGACACGGTTTTGACAGTTGGCTCGTAAACTGCTTTCTCTGTGGTTCGGAAGGCGCGCCACGCTAACAAGGACGGTGCTTCCGCTGTCGAGCCACGGTTTGGGGTTACCTTTAAGACCACGCGCTTTTTCATGTGGGCCCCTTCTTGTTCATTTTTTTGGATTTTGTAGGATCTTTTTTTTTTTTTTGGTCAAAAGGATTTTGTAGGATCTTTTTCTCGATTATTTCCTACTCAAACTTGACAATTGTCAACTGTATACACTTTATTTGCCAAATTTTGCATTCGTGTACGGATCTGCTTTAGTTCCTTTTTTTTCTTTAACCACAAGTTTCTTTTTTTTTTTCCTTTGAGAACTTAAATTACAGTAGTATGGTTTTAAACTAAAAGGGATAAATCGTTACACTAAACAGTTCTGAAATGGACTAAAGGTTTTTGGTTTTATGATACATATTACATAGGTCTAAACTCTAAAACAAAAATAAGTAAATCGGTTTGGTTTGGATAAAACAGAAAATAATAACATTTCCGTAAAAATTATTATACTTTTTTTTTCTACAACAAAGGCATTTCAATACAAATTAGWCAAACATCTTAACATTCAGCTAATAAAATACAAAAGTGTTAAATAAAAGATGCATTACAAGGTGAAAGGATGAAATTTATGTTTTTTTTTTGTTTAGCAAAGAAGAAATCACATATTTTGTTACCAAATGTTTAGGAAACATATGAGTTACTGTTGCTACACAACTGAAGCATCTTTATGTTACTAAAACTCAAACCTTAATTTTCTCTATATTAGTTATGCTGGTGTGATGATCATAAGTTTTGTCCACATCATGAACATGAGTTAATCTGATTGCTCACCACTTGTAACAATTAACAAATCCTAGATTCGAAAACTTACAACAATATAACCAAGTTGAGACAAACCATTAAATTAGTTTCAGAAAGCAACTCATTCTCCCATGGCTTTACCACACGAATGCACAATACATTGGCTTATGCAAGATCGGTTCTACTCTTTAACTTCAGAATACTGTGCTTCAACCAATAATGCATCAAATTTCCGGTTTATTTCGTAAACCGATTCGATTATAACATCCATAAATCCAACTCAATCACCATGAAAATCAGAAGCTAAGCTCATCGTCACTATCACTCAACGCAAAGTCGTCATCTTCATCCTCCACCCACTCATCTTCTGAAAAAGCAGACACATTGAATCTCCCAAATCCATCACTCTCCACCGTCATCTCCGCCGTATCATCCTCCTCCTCATACGACAACGAAAATAACCCATCTCCACCCTCCTCCTCCTCAAACCGCCGTCTCCTCTCCGGCATCAAATCAGCCTCACCGATCTCTCCATTCTCCACTCCAATCCAAGGCACCCACAAATCAGCATGCCTTCCTAACGCTCTATCCTGATCACTAACCACCACAGTCCCAAGATCAGCCTCCCTCGCTTTCCTCAACATATCCGAGAAATCCTTATCATCCGAAACAAGAACCAGCCAATCAATCCCACGTGTCATCGAATGCTGTATCTGTCTCTTCACCGCCCAATCCGCCGCCTGTGGCTTATCCTCCACCGTCTTCACATGAACACCAGCTCGCCGGAGCTCCGACTCAAGCCCGTATCCGATTTTCGGAGTAAGCAACCTCCTCGCCGCCTCGTTGTACTTCTCGTTACCCGACACGTAACGCTCTTTGTACTTTTGACGTTTCTTCCCTTTAAGAGATCTCATCCGATTCACTTTCTTCTGCCTCTCCCTCTCGTGAAGCTGCTTGAAATGCTTTTTCAAATCGAGATTCGTTTTGCATTTCCGGCCACATACGCTGCATATGTAAGGCTCAATTGGGATTACTTCTCCTTTCCTCTCCGCGAAATCGAGATTCCTCCTCTCGCGACGCTCTTCGACGACCCAGTGAGGTAAATGGATGAAAGCGTGGCGATTTGCGTAAGCGGAGATTTCGACGACTCGGCCGAGTTTCTCCGCGACTCGTCGGAGAGCCGTCGCGGCTTCGTACGGTGGACCACGGGGTGGTTTGTTGTCGAGGTCCCATAAAACAACTACTTTCTTCTCCTTTGGAACGAATAAGCCATCTTTGGATCTTACCATATCGATTTCTGACGAAGACGCCGCCGATTGAAGGCATGATTTGATCGGCCATTGACGACGAAGCGGAAACAGGGGAAGACTAGGGTTTCGGAATTTTGCATCGGAGGAGGAAAAGAAGTGAGATTTGTGGGGAAGAAAGGGTTTTGGATAAAGGGTTTCAATCGAATTACAGAACAAACTCATCGGAGACGCGATTCAGAGATGGTCTCTGTGGGCAAGTTTGGGTGTTGTTTGTTTATCGAACATGTCCGGCGAGGATGACGACGGAGATATTCTGCCAATCAAAAGTTTTATTATCCTTTTGCCTTTAGATTTTTGTGTTTTTAGTGTTTGAGAGCCTCTAACTCCACTAGAAGGTCTGATCAAGAGTTCATTTTCCTGTCGGATTCTGAACTTTTAATCCACTTAACTTGCTTGGTCCATTCAGTTCGTGTAAGAGTTGATCAGTCGATTTAGCTTAGTCTCCATCAGCCCATCCCAAATCATTCAACTCATTAATTCTCTATCTCCCAGTCATTCGATCACCTTTGTTCAATCATGAATACAAATCTCATTATTAATGATGATTCGTGGCCCAACTGATCATCGGATCAATCCTATGTATTCACCTGATTTAATCACTCAATTACAATTCCTTCGACCAAGATTTAGTCATTCGATCACTAACCGTGACTTACTTATTCAATCACTAACCGTGACTTTCTTATTCGGAGTGTAAAAGTACACTTGAAGAAACAGAGCAACGTCGACGAAGAAGAAGAAGAGTATGGGTCTAAATCAAACATAATGAGTCATTGGGCTCTGAACAATCACGAGGTCCATTATCAATATCTCATAAAGAGCAAAACGTGTGGAACAAAACGTGATACGTTTCGTACAACCAAGACAGCTGGCTAATATTTACTGAATGTTTTCGATCTTATCCTTCTATATGTATTGTACAAAGGGATTACATGAGAAAAAAAGTAAGAAAATAAAATATTGAAAAAAAAGCTCTATGTTTTCGTCTTCTTCCTTTCACCATAGTTATCAGTCTCTGTGTAGTCTTTGTGTGTGTGTGCGCGCGCTCATTGTGTTGAAATCTCAACA